TTTAAATATTTTAATTTTTATAAAAGTAAATCAAATTAAAATTTATAATAAATAAATAGGTAAATTTATTTAAACTCCTATAATCTAAAGGATAATTTTGTTAAATCTAATATTATATTTAATAAGTAAATAGTTTATAATATAAATTTATTGTAGATTTATATATTTATTAGAAAATTAAAACTGTTATTAAGTCTAAAACAAAATAATTTATTTGATATTTGTTTTAACTAAATTTTATACAATTATAAAAATCAATTAGCATTAACTTAATTATTAAATAGACAGATATTAGGATATTTTACATAAAAATATAGTTTTCACTTTATTTTAGACTAATTAATATCAAATTATTAAATATAAATAAGTTATATTTTTCTCTTAATATTTAAAAAAGAAGTATTAAAAGTTTTAACTAATAATTTAGATATATAATATATATTTATTAAAAATTTATTATTTTTATTATTAATACTTAAATATTTATTCTTAATTAAAGTATCTGGTTTAATTAAATAATATAAAGAAAAAAAATAAAAAATTAAAAATTTTAAAGATATTATAAAATTGAATAAATTAACATTCATATTATTTGTAAATAATATTAATATTTTAATATATCTTTAGATAATAAAATGAAATATATAAAAATTTTTAGTTAAATATTTTTAAATAATAGTAATTATTTACAAAAAAAAATAAAATTGTTAAAATCAAATTTTTCGATTAATATATGTTACTGCTGATCAAATTGTAATATTTTGACTTTTTTAATATTAACTGATTTTTTAATCATATTAATAGATTAAATTAAACCTTTCTTTGTTTGTAATAATAAATCATTTAATTGATTAAATATATATTTACCAAAAAGTTATTATTATTAATAATAAAAATACAGAACTTTTATATTATATTCTTTAACTATTAAAAGCAATTAGTTGTCCATTATTCTTAACAGGTTGAAATGTTATCTAATCTGATTAGGATTAAGCAAATTAAACAAATTGAACTAATTATTTATTTTAATAATTGGTAATTAAAAGTTTTATTCTAATTATTAAAATGAATCAAATAATGGAAATTTTTTATAACAATTAGTTTATCGTTAATCATGTTTATCATTTTTCGAATTTCATAAATTAATAATTAATCCGTAATTTCACAAAAGGGTTGTTTCAATTAATTTTTTATATCAATTATATTCGTTTTATCGCAGTAATTCTTTGACATTGGTTAGATCAGATTACCTGATCTGAATTTTTTCCACAAATCATGTTTTTAATTTTACCTTATATTTGAACATCTCGATTTTAATTGATTAATGTTACACGAAGTTCCTTTTATAAAGGAGTTATTATTGAAAATAAAAAAAAATTTTTTTTTTTAAATGTTGGTGCAAATCGGCTCGATATAGATTGGTTTAAAAAATGACACCTTAACGCGCGTGTATAGCTTCGTTCATTTATAGATGTAATATCCGATTTCTTTGTTTTAATACTATCATTCGGATCAGCTCGGAGTTCTATAACAAATAGGTAGGGAGTTGATTTTTTCACGATTTGTCATGATTGTGATTTTAATCTTAGCAAAATATGACAATTTGGCACGTGGAATTCAATTGATTCATCATTTATTGAATTTAATATAAAAATACATCAAAAAGAAGGAAAAAAAAAAAAAAATCAAATAGTTATAAACCAAATACTTTTGATATTTTTAATTCTTTACGATATAATAGAAAAAACAAATGTCTGTAGAAAATCAATCAAATTATGTTACAACCGTTGAAAAATGGGAAAAAATGGCCGATGGTGTGGAAATATACACAAAGACATGGAAGGTAATCCTTAACATGGTTGGTTCTTTATTTCTCCAGATCAAAGGTTAATTTTTTTTTTTCCTTTTTATTAGTCTGCCATTGATCCCCCAGTTGCAACTGTCATAGCTTTACACGGATTCGGTGAACACGTTAACCGCTATAACTACGTATTTACAAAGTTCGCTATAAAGGGAGTTGATGTTTTTGGTTTTGACCAACGTGGATTTGGTCAAACTGCTGTTCGTAATAAAAATCCTGGTCAGACTGGTGGCTGGAAAGTTGTCACTGAAGATATTACTAGATTCCTAATTATGAATAGACGTCCGGGCATTCCTCAATTTATATTTGGTCATAGTATGGGAGGCGGGCTTACCGCTAATTATGTTTCTGTTGGCCCAGAAAGACATAATTTAGCCGGTGTCGTCTTATCTGCTCCTTTAATTGAATTAGCTCCCCGATATCAAGTACCAAAACCCAAAATTACTATAGTTAATGTTATATCAAAACTTATGCCTAATTTAACTATGTCCGTCAACTTGGATAAATCGTTTATCAGTCAAAATCCAAAAGAAGTTGAAATATATGAGAAAGATCCTTTGATAATTGGTATTGGTTCATTACGTGGTCTTGGTGATATTATGCTTGGCATAAGAACAGTTATAAAAGAAAAATATAAGAACATTACATTACCTATTTATATCTGTTTTGGTACTGCTGATTCAATTAATAGTTGTGATGGTGCAAGAGAATTCTTTAAAAAACTTCCTTCCAAAAATAAAACTTGGCGTGAATACCCCGGTCTTTATCATGAACGTAAGTGAAAATTTTCACGAATAAATAAACAATATCAAATTTCTAACGGTTATTATTATTATTTCTTAGTGCATCGTGAAGATGATAGGGATATGATTATTGATGATTATCTTAATTGGATATTAAAGAGAGCTGCTTCCTCAAGCTCTGATGATAGTATTCAGATATCTACTTCAAAAAATAACTCAGTTCCTTCTCCTTTAGCTCTTGCTTCTGTATAGTTTAGAATTATATACGTTCGATAAATTTAATGTAAATTTTAATTTAATTTTAATTTTTTTATTTGTTATAATTAAAGAACATCTTCATACAAATTTAAAGTTTGACTTTCTCATATTTTATTATAAATCAATACACTTCTAGAGCAAAACTCACCTTCCCTTTCGTCCCTACAAAAGTAAACAAAAAAATTAGCTTTATTTCATTATATAAAAAAGTGTTCTCTAAAGAAACCCACCTGATAAAGTCCTGTATAATACCCAGAATAATACCATGCCATTATTAAGTTGGACAATGCTTCATCATCTATATAATAAATTTTTTTTAATGAATATATCTTATTTAATAACGATTTCTATTATGTCTAAAAAGAAACATTACCAAATCCAGGTATTGGAACTGGTGCCTATAAAATGTAACTATTTAAATTCTTGAATCACACATAAAATAACTCGGTTGAAAAAAAAAAAAAATCGGTCAAACCTTTGGTGGAATATTAGGATCCTGGTATGGAAAGGGAAAGAAAAATCACCTTAAAACTTTTTTTTTTTTTTTTTTAAAAAAAAAGAAAATCTTATATAATAATATACATACATTTACGGTAGGCTGAGGATATGGTGGATAAAATTGATGATGTGGACCTCCTGGTGGTGGTGGTGGCGGCGTATAATAATCGGAATAATAAGTACCATGTGAATGATCTCCACTGTAAAACGAATCATGAACATTCGTATGGGATGTAGGATTGGCATCGTTATCCGGTTGAGGTTTAGACGGTTTAGACTATATAAAATTAAAAAAAATTTTGCTTTGATTTCTTTTTTTTGGCAAAGATAAAAAAAAAAAATATCTAATAAAATTCTCGAAATTTGCCTGTCTCGTTCCTTTGACCTTTCGTTCAGGCGATTCTTGTATTTGTTCATTGACTATATCTTTCTTAACAAATTCAGATGTGGAGGCATCTTCATTTTCGTCAAATGTATCTGGTTGTACGAAACTTTCAAACGTGTTCTCTTTGGTTATATTAACTAACCTCTCCATTCTAAAATCAAAAACGATGTACATCTGCACTGTTTAGTTGACATTAATTATTTAATATGTAATTGTAAAACAAGAAATTATAATCATTGCTTTTTTCTTACTTATTCAAGTTTTCTGAAGCAGCAGGCGTTGTGTCGGAAATGTTGTCATTTTCCGCACTTGATTTGCTGGTGCTTGCTTTGATACTATGAAAATCCTGTGGGAAAATAAAAAAATATATATATATATATAAAGTTTATATATGTTAATATACAAAAAAATGAATCATATTTTAATGTTATAAGTGGGTTTTAGGAATTTGGAAGAACTAATAACTTCAAGGACTTCAATACGACTAGTTGCCTGAAATTCCTTCACAGCGAGATCCCAAGCGGCTATTAATGCGCTGTCATCCCACGCATCTCCTTCCTATTAAGAGAAGTTGATAATTTATTAGCAATATATATTTACATATTTTTTATATCGAATTAAAACTTAGTTATCACCTCGTCTTCGTCGTCATCCAAGTTTTCATCCTCTACTTCTTCATAATGCTCATTATTTTCATCATAATAATCCATATGTTTACGTGACTTGGAATCTTAGATTCTTGTGAAGTTAGTTCTTGAGGGGAGGATTCTGAAGAGAGTGCCAAGAATTCAATTCGTGGAAAAGTTATTCGAGAAGTTGATCCAACACCGATCTTTATGAAAATTTGTTGCTGCAACATGATTGGCTTGGATACAAAAGATAAGATGTTTAAAAAAAATAAAATAACGTTTATTATGACTTTTATAGAATAGATTAAGATATTTTGGGTAAGATACACAAAATATTTTTTTCACACGCCATGCAAACATAGTAGCAGATGATTAAGATTAAATTTACCAATCAAAATTTCAAATTCGTCCCAATTCTCTCTCTCTCACTCTTTTTTTTTTTCTTTTCAAAAAAAAAACCTTCACTTTTTTTTTTATTTGGTTTAAAAGTTTAAAAAGACAAATTGGTTTTGTCTAATTAACAAAGAACTAAAAAAAAAAAAAAATTATTGGTTTTAAAGATTTATTTTAAACACATTTTAGCTACTTGTATTACTCAGTTTGATAATACTCGAAAGAATTTAATAATGACTTCTCATAATTTTCAATCCAAACGCCTTCCAGCACATCATTCAACACATCCAGGATTTCACTCTCGAAAACAACAAATACTATCTTCTTTAACATCTTCAGACCCTTCTTCCAGGATAGATAAATCTCCGAAAGGGTCCATTGATGAAGCAATTTTACCTTTAATAGAATTATTGAATAGACATGATGATTATGTTACAACCAGTAGTTGTTCCGGAAGAGTTGCAATTTATTGTGCTGGTAAAGGAATAAAGAGACATACTAATAAATTTTATGCTTCTAATAATCAAGTTCATGATGATATTGATGAAATTGATACTAACGTTAAGGATGAAGAATTGGAAGTAAATGACGTTGACGACGTGAGACATTCAACAAAAGGTGGGGGAAGATGGTTGTTCGTTACTCATTCACACGTCGACTTACCAAAGGAGTATAACAAAGAAAAATTAAACGAATTCTTGTTGAAAACGATTTTTGGCATCGAACATGTTAATGTAATATCGTTGACCGATCATGATAGTGATTATAATAACTTGTTAAAAGATGATGATAATAATCGGATGATTTATTTCAAATTTGAACCCATGGTCAGTAAACCAAATTTATTCTTGGTACTTTGTTATTTTTTATTTTCATTTTATTATATATCTCTTTTTTTAAAAAAAAAATTATCATCCGTTTAGATCCTACATGTAGAAGCAAGAACGTTGGATGCTGCCAAGAATTTAGTCACTTCGGCCATTGATACTGGTTATCGTGAATCAGGTCTTTTGACGACTGCAAAAAGGCACATGGTTGTTATTCGAAGTTCCCTGAAATTAGACGCACCTATCGCACGTTTAGATCCCACAGACCAAAAGTTATACCTTTATGTGGATTTGTCTTATTTGTATTTACTAGTCACGTTGAGTAACCGGAAATTTGATGAAAATTCAAGAAAGATAAAGGAATTATATAAGACGATCGAAGATCATCTTTTCGCTGGAATTGGAAGTGGCGAAGATGTAATCAAACGATGTACTAAAGAGACTGGAAAGACGTGGGAACACAAGGAAGAAAGAAGAGAAAGAAAACGAAGAGAAGGACTAGCAAAACAATTTGGATTAAGAAAAAGTGGTACCCTGAGTGATGGGAATGATGGCGATGTGTCAACTGTAGATGACGAGATTCAAGGTTTAGATAATGCTTAAATTAAGAATCAAAAAACTTTATTTATTTGAAAAAAGGAATTCGTGGTAATATCCTTTACAAAATAAATGGTCCAGGATCAAAAATAAATAAATAAATAAATATAAATAACCAACGATATCCGTATCACGAACATATAAATAATTTATAAATAAACAATATTAAATAATTATCACTATAACAACTTCCCTATTCCGAATTAAACCTTTTTTTTTACCCATAAACTATCTAATTATCTTAGTGGACTAAATGGAAGAGGGGTCAAAATGTTCGTTTCCATTCTACGGATCAACCGCACTGTCAAACGGGATAAACAAGTCAATAATAAAATTGAATAAATAAATGATACATATATTTTTTCTCACCCGTTTTATAGACGGTTTCGGCCCATCCATCCACCTGCCACGCTTGTTCTCGAGTTATTTTACGACTTTCAAGGTCACTAAAAAAAATCAAACAAATTTTATGAAGATTCTTTGAAGGGATTCGTAAATTTAATATCAATTCATTAAACTTACGGATATTGCCACATATGATGTACAAAATTTAAGGCTCCCTGTTATTATTCAAAAAGAATGTGATGATTAAAGGTTGTATTCATAATATCATAATATCTTACATTACAAAAAGAACAACAATGGATTTAGAGAACTTACCAATTGACAAAACCATGCGCCGACAGGTTCACAAAATTGTCTACGACACTCAAGTCCACGAACCCTAAACGAAAGTAAATAGAAGACATCTTAAAACGTTATTTTTGGACCTGGTAACGCGTTTTATAATTACCAATGGGTTTCCCATTCCAATAAATTACCGGGCTGATAAATAATCAATATGTAAATATTAAAAAGGTTTTATTCATAAAATCGAGTTACAGTTGAGAAATCTCACCTCGAGTTCATAAGTTCTCAATTCATAAATTCCTCCATTAACAGCTGGTGGACTTGTTTGCCAGAAAGCAAATTCTAGACAAATTTGATTATACCGACTCTGAAGCATAGGGCGTAATTCTTTAATAAATTTCTGATAATGCTGCACAGCAAAGATATCATTAAATTTGTGATTCATTAAGCACTTTAGGAGGAAAAGAAAATAACGAAGGTACAAACGTGATCCTTCTTAAGTCGGTTGTGAGTCTCATCATAACCAATGTACCCTTGGTACTCCCAGATATGGACTGTAATCGATTAATGTTAATTCGCAACAAATACAAGAGCAATTATGTTAAAAATGGATCGCTAAAAAAATTTACCAAAAGTATCAAGATCACCAATCTCTGTCTGCCAACTACCACATAAATGGACCGAATTTTCCGGATCGTTTGCAATGCGAGGATAATACTCGGAACTTTATGGAAATAGTTAGTACATATTTTAAATATTAAAGATAAAAACTGTGAGCGATAAAGCTTACATGAGTCTAATATAATCTTCAACACAATCAGGTTTTATTTTGTGTTCTAAAGCGAAAAAGAAAAAAAAATCCTTTGATTTAAATTTATTTTAATGTTGCCAATAAACCTTTCATTTTCGACCGAATTCTGGTATTAAATTTATACTTTGCAATTCGTGGACATATTTTCCACGCGCTATTAGCTTGGAGTGAGTTTGATTTTCTTCCTCCCGGATGGCTTGCGAGCCATGAAGAATACTCTGTACCAAGGAACTTGCTTTGGACTTGATTTTATCACTATCATTCGAATCGGAATTTTCAGTTAATTTCGTTGAGGTGGTCGTAAAATAACGGATAACTCTATTTTTCTCGACGAGTTGTTGCAAATTATCTCTTTTAAGGAAAAATGGAGTAACCAAGTTTGATTTAAACAAGTTTTTAAAACCAGGTGATGTTTGAAAACAATAACGAAAGGCTGTCATATTCGAAAATTCGTTCAACTTACATTTGAATCCATAAAATGAACTTATATATCATCGATTTTTGATTGGAGATCCTTTGGATCATATTTCTTATTTTGGTGATTTGTAGGTTTTTATCTTACATGGATCGTCCGTGGGTCAAGAAAAGTTAAATATATTGCGTCTTATTACATGTGTACGTTAAAATAGTTAGTTCAAGGCTCACCTGGTGACGGTATAATGACAGCGCACACAACAGATTTCAAACCAGATCAACAAATAAAAATAAATGTTGTATTACCTTACAATATATAAAAACTCATTATATTAGTTGTATCCCTGTGTTGCGTTGTGTTTGTGTTCTTACTTTCCCAAATCTTTTTATCTGAGAAGGCTTATTCCTTTAAAAGCAAGACTCGTAATTTACTTTTTCAAAATGGCCAAACAACCGCCTACCGACATTACGTGTATAAACGAGGTGGACGATATTTCCACTTTTCAAAATAACGATATTGACGTTATTACAAAACCTCGGTTTAATAACGACCTTGTCGAAAAGCTACACAACTCACTATACAACTCACGTAAAGCGACCTGCTCAACGATATATCCGGAATTAACGGAGGGTGAGGAAACGCCCAAGATGGAAAACGGGGACACTGGCAGTAGTAGTTCGAGTGGAGAATATGTCAATGAAGGTTTAACATTATGGAATAGGAGGCGAGAGATGTGGATTAGAGGAAACATGGAAAATTCGGGACCTTCATCCAACCGTAATAATCCAGCATTGGCCAATATCACGCCAAATAATTATCATTCGATATATGATTCGTTGATTCATGAAAAGAAAAAGTTGGCGAAACCAGTTCCGTTGCCTTACGTGGTATGTATGCTTTCCGCATGTGTTTCTTGTAGGTGGGATTCATCTTATTTATTTTCCGTTAGATAAAGATATTAGTGAGCGGATGGAAAAGAGACGGAATTTTGCCTAGTGATCATCCTTCTGGTCCTCCTTCCGGTCCAAACAATCAACACACCCCTTACTAAACATTCATCTTGTTGAGAGCAAAATGCGTTCCAAAAAAAGAAATACCTATCTAGCCGTCTTAATTAACTAAGACAGAGGAATTAATCATCAAGTCAATCACAATTATCTTTTTTTTTTCCCTTCCTTCTTCCAATGACAACAGAAAATGTCATGGGTAATAAAAGTATTCATGAGAAAAAATATGTTTGATTTAAAATCATCAATTAATCATTTTACTTTTAATTCAATAATATGAATAATTTTTTATTTGATATATTTAATCATTTTAGCTATCAGCTTGCATTATTTATCGTTTTAATTTTTAATTTACTGTATTTTTTTTTTATTTCACACAATGTTATAATTCATTATATTATAATTACGAGATTAAAAATTTATTAAATTGTAAATCAAAGAGAATTTTAAAATTACCATAGACATTTCGTATCATTCAAATAAACATACAAAACAAATTTTTATGAGAAACATTCGATTTATATTCCAAGAAACATTTTCAATAAGCGCAGCATCGCACAAAAGCAATAATCTTGTACAGAATCATCTTTTTTGCTTTTTTGGATACTGATAAACAAAATTAATTCATGATAAAAAAAGATCTTGCATCTGTGTAGATCCATTTTTGAAACTTCTTTATTTATTTGTTGCTACAAGGAACGAAATTTATATTTATATAGTTTCAAACTTTCCGCAAGTCAAAATTAAATCAAATCACCGAGTTTATCAAAATTCCCGCTTGATTTTGCTCCTGCTGAAATATGATTATATATAGCAATCACCCCTATCATGATGTGTACAATTTAATCCTCTCTGAGTAATTTAACATTCCGTGATAAACTCGATATAGACTACTATCTTTTCTAAGCCACCGATAAACTCGTGGTTTTGGTGCCAAAAGTATGAGTGACGGATTTCCTTTATAAATTGTGTAATTATTCGCGTTAACCTCGCGTAAGCTTTGTGGAAGGTTAGGTACATGATTATAAATAATTACTGATATAAAACGAAACTTTAAAAAAATTTCTCCTCCAAACAGTTCCGTCAAAATTTACCTCCCTGGTTCAATTTATATCTCTTCATAAGAAAGTTAAATTAAATGGATCGTCTTAGAGAACGTCATAACCCCTATCCTGAACGAAAACCTCTTAGTAATGTCAATATCATGAAATGTAAAGTACGTGGTCGTGGAAAAAGTTTAAGAGTTCCAGGTGGAAATATGCCATTTGATAGAAATCCACAGTTTCGCGGTCTTCAACCTCCAAGTCCTTTTTGGGACGAGTCTAAAACATTCGAGCCTTCCCAAGCTCCAATGTTTGACTTTTTTGTAAATGGTAAATTCTATATTTATTCAAATGATTTTTCAACTGATGATTATTATCGGGGGGGGGGGTTTTTTTCTTTTTTTTTTTTTAAGCGTTCACTATTCGTTAAATGTTCGACCAATGTATTTATAACATCAATGTTGTTTGAACTTCCCTCGCCAATTTTTCTTATACGCCAACATTTATTCAAACAGAAAGATACTCCTTTAAGGGTTTTAAGATATTTTGCAATCATCGTTGTTAATATTCGAATTGTCGTTTAATAGGGAATGGACCTGGTGTGCAAGACAATAATGTTAAGTTTAATAAGAATGATCCTGCTTTCCTTGAAGCGCGTCTTGCACTTGAGCGCCCTTGTCGAACCTTGTTCATCAGAAATATTCAGGTATCATCTTAGTTCATTGACCACGCGATGAGAAAATTAGAGGTTGATTGGTATAACCATTTTAGATCAAAAGATTTATATAATGTTTTCTTTCTAACTTATAATATTAGTATGGTACCAAAACTGAACTCGTTCGATCAAAATTTGAAGAATATGGAGAGATAAGAGATATCTTTGATATAATTGAAAAGAGAGGAATGTTATTTCTAAGTTTTGTAAGTCGTCACATTTATTACTACCTCTATTTAGTATTTATGTTTGGTGAATTGAACCTTGATGACAATCATAAGAGAAAGACTTGATTCTAATATTTTGACGCGTTAATTCACTTAAGCTTCGTGATTTGAGACTATAAGATATTCCGATCTTGATTCTTTCAACATTTATTGCAATA